GCACCTTTGAACATTCTGGGATGCACCATCATATTTTTTTTCGATGCATTATCATAGGTGTGTAATACGTTGCACCAAGTTTCCTCGGTATACTGCCTGTCATATTTTTTTTTTCAGTTTATAATAATTTTTTTTATATTTTTTTCTCCGGGACCAGGTCGCGCCTGAAGAACGCTCGAGGAAAGTTCGCTCGCGTCATCTTCGCCTCGGGATCGAGATTGCAAGAATTTCATGTAATTGCCAATCGAGAGTACCGTCTAGGTTTTATTTGAAAAGAGAGATGAGTCGGTAGTACACTTTCCAGGAAGCGACTTTAACGACGTGTTTCGTCTGTGTTCTCCAACACGCTCGGCAAGGCACCGCAAACACCGCTCTCCTTCTTCTTCTTCCTCTTCGGGGTCAGAGGGGGTTCAAGTTAAAGAGCCGCTCGAAGGACCTGCTCCTTTTTCCCGGGAATGCCGGCGGAAAATCGAGTCCTCCGGGTCGGCGATCCTGAGCACACCTAAGATCCTGGGGAACCTCTTAAGAGAATTCTGATAACCCCAGGACGAGCTCTGTAAATAACATTATACAATGATAATCCGATGCTGGGGATCTTTGCAAGAGGTGCGAACCCTGAAGAAGATGACGAAGAGTGGGAAGGAGGAAAATCGGGGCTCCGAAATATCCAGATCTTGGGATCGATACGTGGAATTTCGATTTAACAGGTTGACGAGTCCTTCGTGGGTGTGCACAGGTGGTGTACGGAAACTCCGTACGCTTCATTGTACGAGTAAATGGCGCGAGTACAGTTGGCGAACAACTCATGCGCTAGCAAAGTTCCAATTACACAGCCAGTTTGAACACTGGGGGATGAAATATGCAGGTTACGGTCAGCCCCGTGGTCACCTGGAAACTGCAAAGCCGGTGACCGATTGCCGGTGAAAAATTCAATTACGAAGGGATTCAATTAATTAGACCGAAAAGTAAGAGGCCAGCGTTGATGGGATTTTTCTAAAAATTCTTCATTACCATTTGTCCAATTAATTATCACGTGTACTGGAAGGTAGCTAGGGCATGTAAAACGGAGCTTAAATACCATCTTGTCAATGGAGTCGGTCAAAGACCGCTGTCAAGACCGACAACCAGTCTTCCAGGACATGACGTCGGACTCGGTGATTACACCGATGCCCGACAATAAGTGCGTGTACATCACGGCCCGTGACATTATAATTCCTACGATGACTCGATAGCGAAACACTTGGTCTGTCGGTAAAGTGCAATTTAGTTTGAATTACAGTCATCAATTGTCACGGATAACGGCGCGTTATGACAGCCACCTCGATAGACATCTCGTAATCAATTACGTTACTTGCTCGCAAGCCATTCCGCCATGACAGCGATGAGTTTCTCCGTATAAACGTTAAAAATATAATCCTGCCCCACCGATGGCGGGATTTTTAATTATAAGGTAGACCCCATGAAATTACGTCTCGTGCTGCGACCTCTGCCTGGGTTTAATTTTTACCGCCCGTGGTATGACTGTTTTTTTTTTTTTTTCTTTTTAAGGCCGCCACTCCGAACAGGGGATTGACTTTTATTGCCTCGATATTATCCTTTATTTCCCCGGCTTGTTTATAAAGTGCGTTTTTATTCAGAGAGCCCCGGGGCTCATGAATGCCCGGCCCATTTCTTTCCCACTGTCGAACTGCTACTGAAGACGGAATAATTCCGGGAAACTTTCCGACGGGGAACTTTTAACCGAAAAACTCTTCGAGTTCATCAATGCGCAGCCCTGATTGAATTATTCACGTGGGTGTCGCATATCCTGAAGTGAGACTTGCCATTACTGGGCTCGATATTTGGCTCTCACCTGATCGCAGAGCAGACCCGGAAGAAACGTAATTGCTGATTAACGTTGCGAGTCAGACTCTCTATTATTAAATGCCACCAAGTACCCATAATATTTTTTATCTCTATAATTAAACAAGTCGCGATGGTCAAAAATAGAATGTCAGAAAAATTTTGCAGGAAGAGCTCCAAAATTTGAACCTTCCATCTCGTCGGGAAGAACCGGAAACGACGCGTCCCCGAAGAGCCGGGTATCGCGCCCTGGCAAAACGAGATTCGTTAAGGCTCTTTGTCGAGGAGTGTCTAATTAAATAATCATCTCCTGCAGGTACACGGCCCCTCGACAAACGAGGGGTGTCGGGGAAAGAGGAGGCTCGCACGTCCACGAGGAGCTACGTAATTCGAGCAGCGGAAACTGATGGAACTCTGGCCGACATTTTCTGAAAATGGCTGCAAAGAATTCCCAAGGGGAAAAATTAATTAGGAAGTATAGAGATTAGTTAGCCAAAGACTTTTCAGCAGATCAGCTCTGAACGAGACATAGCGATGAAATGGCTTTGACGTTCGCAAAAAATCTCGGAGGTCCGAAAAAAAAAACAGAGCCGATGGACGCTGCACCTCATCTGACAGAATGCACTTTTGGAAACGCATAGGATTTCCCACAAGAGAAACGGCTCGAGAGCTATCTGCCAGGCATAATGAAATAATGTCAGAATTGTTACACCGAAATAGCCAAAATATTGCAAAGGACGGAACTAGAAGCTGGGGACTGAAACTCGCACCTGCATCTTGATTAACTCGGGTCGTCTCCGATGCACTTCCGAGAGATGCAATTATGCCGCTCGAGAAGTCGGCTCTAGTTGATTAAATATAGTCCAACATCAGCCCTGCCAAGGTATGCGTTTGGGTGCACTCAAACGCGATTAAAAAACCCGGGGGAAAATAGAAAAGAAAGGTGGAAGGGAAATAATTCCATTATTTCTGAGAGGTGGAGGAGTGGGTTACAAGATTTGTTTAAGGACGGAGGTTAAAGGCGAGATCTGTGAAATTGGCCATTTTCCTCGAGACTCGAGCCGAGGCAGGACGTCTCGCTCAAAGGATCTCCAGGACTGGAACCGGGGAAACCGAATTATGTAATCCCGCTCGATTTATCCATTTCTTCCCCGACCTCCCTTTTCAGGGCACCCCTCGTAACTTTGATCGACTATCAGGGACGGTTAAAGTCGACTATAGGAAAGCGGGACCCGCAATAATTGGGACTTACGGTGTTGTCATGGAGCCTTGTGTCTGCCAGGAGCTATTGCGCGGGTCAGGGAAGAAGGTCCACCGAGGACTAAGGGGGGCGAAAACTGGTCGGATGGCTCTCACTTTCGTCTCTTCGACTCTTCTCTCTCTTGGTACAGGACCTCGCGAAAACCTCCCACAGAGAGCGAGAGCTGTAGAATTTGCAGCTTCTTTCGCAATCTCGATCGGATCGAGCCGCTTCTTGCAGGCCCGCTCGAGATTCGAGGATACCCGCGATTGCACCTAACTATGCACCAAGTGCGATACCATCTCACCAAAATTGCTTTGCTATTAACTTTCTTATTCTACGCGACGATTTTCCCCAATTCTATCCCGGAAGTCCTTTCAGCCTTGTCCCAAGATCCTGGAAAAAAAAACGATCGAGACACGAATCGCAAAAAATCATGATCTAATTATTTCTTTCTTCCAAAGTGCAATATTATCTTACCAAACTACCACTGAAGTACCGATTGCTATGCCGAGGTGTGACATTACCTTAGAAAATATTAAAATATTAAAAGAAATTTTTCCGACATTTTCTATGAGAGAAATTACATGTTTTAAATATATTCCTGCAGAAGGGACAGGATTTCCTTGGAGAAGTATGTCGGCCAATTTTTGCCTCACTTCGCAAAGGGCAACTTGTTTCCCGAATTGGAAAAAAAAAATAGAAAAACAGCGCCGAGGGAAGCTGTGCATCGGGAAAATTGAATCGGGGAGCACTCGAATTTGGGAGCTCTCGAGGCAGGGGGGCTTTCAACTTTCGGCGCACAACAGGTGTTCTATTATGGAACACGAATATCTACAGGGGGTGGGCCACAATAGGACCGAAACGCGCAATAGAAACATTGGATGTCGATGCCCCTCGTTTCGAAAAGTCCGCTTTTCGATTTCCCTCGCTTTTCGGTCTCGTCCGCCTTTCGGGCGGATCGATGCCGCCGAAATGGCGCGTGGGTGTGTGTCGAGGCTTGTCAATGTTCGCTTATCACGGGCCCCGGTTCGTTGTTCCGATGCCACGGGCACTGCTCAGTAGTTGGTCAAACAAAGGCACCGAGATCGATGATCTCGATGATCCTAAATCCCATCCACTATTCGGGACGAATCGGCAGGAAATTCTCGTCACCAATCTCTCCGTTCAGAAAATTCCTATCAGACGAAACATAACGAATTGATAAGAATGAATTGCTCATATTTATCCATGCAACGTGTCTATGCTGTTTAAAAAATGCCACCGAGATCGATGATCTCGATGATCCCAAATCTTACCCACTATTCAGGAGGAACCGGTAGGAAATTCTCGTCACCAATCTCTCCGTTCAGAAAATTCCTATCAGACGAAACATAAGGAATTGATAAGAATGAATTGCTCATATTTATCCATGCAACATGTCTATGCTGTTTAAAAAATGCCACCGACATCGATGATCTCGATGATCCCAAATCCTACCCACTATTCAGGACGAATCTCCCGGAAATTCTCGTCACCAATCTCTCCGTTCAGAAAATTCCTATCAGACGAAACATAACGAATTGATAAGAATGAATTGCTCATATTTATCCATGCAACGTGTCTATGCTGTTTAAAAAATGCCATCGACATCGATGATCTCGATGATCCCAAATCCTGTCCACTATTCGGGACGAATCTCCAGGAAATTTTCGTCATGATTCTCCATTACAAAAAAATGTATTCCTGACGGATAAAGTAAATTAAATTTATATGAATCAATTGCTCGTATTTATCCGTGCAATTTGCCTATGCTGGCCCCAAACAATGGTGCCGGTATCTGCGATTCCGATTACCCGATGAAATTCCTGAAAAAAATAAATATACAACGTATTGATAAGAATCGAATTTATTTATGTTGTTTACTTAATGGCGAGAAATGTCGAAGGAGTGTTTAGACACTCTCGTGCGCGTCGTGCTCGCTGGGATTTGTCGTGCCTGGATTAATCCTCAGCTGCGAAAGCAACGGTGTCGAGGATGCGCCCAGCATCCTCGTGATCTAATTATTACCTCGAGAGGATGGCCCGTTACCGAAGGTAAGCGGTGCTCTTTCTGCCCCTCCCATGGACCACCCGGTTCCGGCAATCTCGAGCACTTTGTGCTTCGTTACTCGAGGCGCTTGGTTGCTGAAGAGGAAGCCGAAGAGCTCGGGCTGCTTCGGGGGAACTTTCGTCCTGAAATCCTTGGGACCTTTTCCGGGTATTTACGTCGAATCCTGTCTCCCGATTCTCACATTTAACCGAGAACATCCTCCCCCCCTGCCCTTTCTTCTCCCTATAAAATATGAAGAATAATTTTAATCGATAAAAATTACGATTAATTAACCGTGAAAAGTGTTCCGCACCCGTGTGTCGTTTTTGGTATTTACATCGAATCCTGTCTCCCGAAAATATAAGAAAATTATCATTTTAATCCAGAAAAATATTCATCATTCCGAGTATATCCTGCACTTGATCGAGGGCATCTTTTCATGAGATCCCTTTTTTTTCTCCCTATAAATTATGCAAAATTATTACTTTAATCGATAGGGATTAGGATTTTAATCGAGGAGAATTTACCTCGCCCATGATGGCGTGATTTCTTTTCTTTTTTTCTTTTTAGTTGCGAGATCAATCTGACGTCTTTTTTCGTATTGTTCCAGGTGTTGCGGTGATCTTCGCGCCGGGGTACTGCGGAATAAAGGTGAGATTCTTTTACGGCTCCTCCTAACCTCTCACGAGGCCGATGCCTCTCTTCCGTCTCCGTTCTTCCGGCTTTTGCCCGTCGCATTCCCGCTCGTGACCCGACTACCGCCAACCTTCGGGTTTTCATTCCACGAGAACGCCTCGGACACGTACGACATTTTGGCCCTCGATCTTCCCGGTATTACGTAGATGGCAGTCATGCCAAAGCCCCAAAAAAGATGCATCTCCTCTCGAAAACGGGCCCCGAAATAAGTCCCATACAAACACCATAGAAGGAAAGAGAAAATGAAGAAGACCCAAAAACGTGGGATCACCAGAAAAATCGCAAGAAAATTTAATTCCTATTGTTAAAAACTCCCCGTACTTTTGTGTCATTATTTATATGCACGAAGAGAAAGGACAAGGGAGGGTGGAATAAATTCCCTGCAGGACTACCTTTCGGGATTTCTCTTTTGTCCTTTTTTTATCTCGATTATGCCTGACAAAGACAGCCGGATATCCACGTCGTCGACGGGCGATTTCGGAGGTAAATAAAGAAATAAACAAAGGCAGACCGAGGGCCGAGGGCGAAAACGAGTTCGATATTGAAATCCTGCCGATATATCCTCTCGATTCAATTTAATCGCGGATATGTGCACGCGAATGATTGATATCCTTCGAGTAAGCCGATTAAGAAGTTTTTCCATTAAAAGTTACTCCCCTTTGTACCGGAAAATCGAGGAGATCGCGTTTGTATCTTTCGCGTATCCTTTTACCGTTCTTGGGGATGCTGAAGAGTTATCCCGGGAATTTGTTTAAAAACCTTGGAAAAATAAATCTCCACCTCGCGATGTGATTACGAGAGTAAGTCGGGTACACTTTGTAGGACTGTAATTAAGAGTATGACCACGTAAAGGGGGACTATCTCGGTTATCGATAACTCATTTGGGAGTTAACTTCTTTGTTCTGAAGATAGCCTCTGCAAGGATATCGAAAGAACGCCGAAAGGAACCTCTTATTATTTCAGGACGAAGGATTTACGGTCCGTTCGAACCCTTGTAACGAACTCCCTCGAATTTCCGATTTTTCCCGGATTCACGAGGGAAGGTTCCTCAGGGACGAATTCTAAGGACTCTCTGAATTCATCTTCGATCCTCTCGATACTTCTTCCTTCCCCAGGAAGTCGATCCTTCCGGGACGCCATGTGAGCGAATTCGTCCTGGAAATTGATTTTTCATCCCAGCCGTTTCAGGGAATGTCGAATTTGGTTAGCGGTAATTGAATCGAAAGACCATTGCGAAACTGGCACGTGGACCCGGAATAAAGTCAAAAGTGAACGATTGTTTTGTTTCCCGGGAAATTCATGTTATACATGGATGGGCCATTTTCTAGAGTGGCTGCTGCGCGAAACAAATGGGCTTACAAATTTACTCAAACGGGGGCCAATTAGCGTGAAACCGGGATATTTTTAAGGTTTATGGACATCCAGAGGGTTCCTGTTCGGTTTTGATGGTAATTGTTTGCCGAATTCGACGTTTTCGCCGTCCCGGGAGGATCGCGTCGTTTCAAAATGGCCGCCACTCGGAAGCTCTGGCGTCGCCCCTTATCGATAGCGCGCTTCCTCCTTATTTTAACCGCGAAGCGTCGGGCTTCCGGCGGAGTGCATCAGATTGGCAAGACAATAGGGCATTCCGTGATGCAACGGTGTTATGGAATGGATCTACTGTCCCGTACTCGTACTTGGAGCGCCTCCCAGAGTTTGTATCGACGAAATTCAGTCCCCAGGAGCCGAGAGGTCTCCGAGAATTCTGTGGAAATTCTGCAATAGCGACGTACATTTAAGTGTTTCGCTTACAATAGATCTATACTTTGCATCTCGCCTGGAAGTCCCTTTTTATCTAGGACTTTGCCCATAAAACTCGCAAAGAGTACATTGCCGTGGTAGTTGCACCGCAATAAACCGTGATATGGCAGAGGAGGTTAGCGAGATATCTTCCGTCTCTGAACTTTTTGAAAGAACTTCCTTAACTTCCTCTGGACACCTCGAAACTTCCTCCTCTCCTAAATTTCCAACCGTTCAAGCTGAATAATTTCATTCCGGAAATCATGTCGAGCGCGACTTCCACGGAGCGACGCGAACTTGTCGAGATTCGCGTCCTTCCAAGATGGCGGCCGTTCGGCGGTATCGGGACCCGCCAAGAACCACTTCCTATCTAAAGAGCGAAGCGTCGGGCTTCCGGCGGAGCGCATCAGATTGGCAAGACAATGGGATGTTTCATGATGCAACCGTGGCACGGAATGGATCCGCTGGCAGCGCCCTCCGACGCAGTTGCGGTGACTCGCGGAAGTACGCTGACAAATTCGGACCGATACACTTCTCAAACTAATATCCCGTGTTAAAAGTGCGTTCTTGCTCAAACACGAATTGAATACCCTTCTCCAATTCAAGATTCTGACATTTCGAGGGTAATTTCTCATCAATATCCCATTTATATCGACTGTGGAGGATTGATTAGGAGGACGCCACTAGGCCGCCATTTTGCGACGCGAAGGAATCGACTCCTGTTCCTTCAGAATTTAATATTCCGCTTTAAAAGTGCGTTCTCGCTTAAACACAACTCGAGTACCCTTGTCAAATTCAAGATTCTGACTTTTCGAAGGTAATTTCTCATTAATATCTCACTGATATCGACTGTGGAGGATTAATTAGGAGGGCGCCGGTAGGTCGCCATTTTGTACTGGAGTTCCTCCAGAACTTCGCACAGAAGAGGAGTCGACGCGACTCCTGTTTCTCGGCGAAACTTTAGATACCTGCCTTGGATTAATCCATCCATTATTATTACCCCGCCATGCAGTGACCAAAAAATAGGGCATTACTTTTTACATCCCAACGTAAAGTCCTTTATGAAGCCAGCTGGCTCGATCGTCCCAGACCCCGGCCTCGAAAGAACCCGGAGAACCCACGGGTTCCTAGCTCGAGGCCCGAAGAAAGCGTGCTCTTTCTCGAGGTCGTCCTCAAGCCTCGCGGAAGTACATATCAGCCACGTCGGAGTTCTCTTCCTATTTTTCCCGACTCATTAGACATGCCGTGGGGACTTGCTCGTCCTCCCGGACGAGAAAGTCGACTATTCCCTCGGCGCCATATTACACGTTCACCTTTGAAAAATATATTAAAATCACTCTCGATCCTGGCATTAAACGTCTTTCACATAACTTTCTGACGCGAAAAGTAATTGCCACAATAAACATAATTGCCTTTACCAAACCCCAACCATCCTTACACACCCTGGTAGTAAGAAAAAACCTGAAAAAAAAATCAGTCGTGTTTCTTAGATACCAAATGAAGTGTCCGATAATAATCCTGAAATTGAAAATGCATTTTCATTATATGTACATAAATGAAGGAACATAAGTTTTATATATGTTTATATATTATTGAAGTTAAATATGTAGAAAAGATGAGAATGAAGTGTTAAGAAATTATTCTATACTACCAGGGAAGTTTCTACTAGTGTCCCACTTCACCGCGATTTAGACATGACAAATGCCCTTCTTAAAAGCTCTTCATGGCCGTAGGTCCTGCACATTCTCCGGTCCGTAAAGTGCGCTTTTTAGCCCGTTTAAACAAACTACCAGCGACGTGCTTCGTCGGCGCCGGGGAACGGCGAAGTGCACACCGAGACCGGAGTTCTCCTAGTTGTTTTCCGGGACTTAACTGCACCGAGAGAGGTTTTGCTCTTACGCCAATGAACGCTCGTTCCGAAGAAAGTTGGCGTCTCTCTCGGTGCAGGGATTCTCATTGCAATCGCCGAGCGATTGCACCCTGATAAGGTATCAATGGAAGCGGCATCCATCGAGGGGATTCCTGTTATTCAACGCGGCTTTGCGCAACGTGTGCACGCACACGTGGGAAGACGCACGTGCCGAGGATGCACATGCACTCGCGGTGCATCCGTGTCTGACGTCGAGCTCGTGCACCGTGTCCGGCTCGATTTAACGATCATTTAACTCATATTTCACGGATCGGAGGGCGCAAAGTGTTACATCTAGCATTCTTGTCGGTGCGAAATATCACCCGTGCGTTCCTGTCACCGAGAGACCCCCGGAAAAAGTATAAATAAATGAAATCGATATCGCCACGTGGACCGGGAATTCCGAGCCTGGAGCAATTACTCGACTGGCCGAATTTTTACAGAATTTCGAAAGGGTATTTTACCCGCAGAATTTCTCCGCCTGCGTATAACACGAGAGGGAGTGAGCTGCAATTTTTTCTCGATTAAAGGTCGGCCCGCGTAATTTCGCCCTGGTGCATATGTGCAGGTGCATGTGCATGCGCGATCGCCGGGAATGAGGCTTCATGGGGCGCGTTTGACCAGCCCCGAACCCGGGGATGCGAAAACGTAGGAAAATGCGGGAAAATGTGGGGAAAAAAAATGGGAGAGTGCGTACTACCACGAAAAATCGCAGCCCTCAAGGGGGATTTGCGTATGGTAATTTTTAAGAGCGCATGAAATACATTATGCAGAGAGGAAATTAATAAACGGGTCGGCGAGTACGACGTCGAGGAGGTGGAGAGTGACATTCGGCCGAACACTGGTGCGGCGCGAAATTCAATTTCGACCCGGGTAAATTTCAAATTTTATGAATCTCTTCCCTCGTTTATGGACGGAGGCATTCGCTCGAAAGTCGTTCGGAGTTGCCGGGTAAAAATTACGGTTTTACATCGCTCTCGTAGTTTCTCAAATTCTCCCTCCACTTGCTCGACGAAATTCACCTCGTTTTCGCGGGAGATATTTTCATATTTCAATATTTAAATCATTCACCTCGGGATTTTTGGAAAATTCGGTAACGAGAGGGAATACTGAGCTGGGTGAAGAATCCGAACCCATTTGCCTAATTAGCTCCTCCCTGTAGCGTATTAACGGATCACACCTCGTTTCGACGGTGAATTATTAGGGAATTGGTCTTAGAATAATTAATTGGATCGATTTGCCAAATGGACCATATCTATATACTTTG